TTGGAAAGATAAATAGACGAGTGGTAGCTATACAGAAGCAGGTATATGAAACAGCGACTTGTGTCAATTCTAATTGGAATAATTGTGTCTGTGGAATTGAGGAAGACTCGAACCTGAGAACTTACGTGGATCAATTCGGGGAAGGAGGCCCCGTGCTATTGGGCTCAGTGGTGATCGGAATAGTATCATTCCCGTGTGCCTCGATGTCTGTGTCGTCTGTGGCCACGTACAACGTATTTACTGTCATCGGACCTTATGAATATTGGATTAATAACGCCTATGAATCGCCTATGAGATTCATATCTCAAGAAGCTCAAATATCAAGCTTTCAAAAAAGGATGGAGCCGAATTATCTATTTTTATATTTACTAATTTTGCAAATGTTTCGAAGATTTTTTTCTTATGTTACTTAAAATGTGATACTTGACAGTTAAACTTAACGTGGTTGTTTAATTAGGAAATCAACACTAAATATAAATCGTTAGGACGCGCCTATATTCGGTTGAAAATTAGCATAAATTACGATGTTGTTCTTCGTAAACTTCCATAAATACGGCACGAATATAGATTCATACTTCTTCAGTGTAGAATAGAAACAGACAAACGAAGTTTTTCTTTGGATAGCACAACACGTGTAAGTTCAATGCGTATTTTATTTTGTAGTTAGGAGTTGCTCGCGTCTTTGTCCGTGCAAGATTTTTAAAAGCACCTAGTAATAAATATACCCTAAACTCAGTAATAATGTTGTTTTGTTATAAAAGATTTTTTAAATCGGACTAGTAGTTTTTGATTTTATTCGTTACATACAACAAAAAAATCAAATATTTCCTTTATACAATATTAGTATAGATTTAATAGTTAAATAAATTTATATAAAATAAATGTTTATTTAAATAAGGTTATAGTTTTTTTTTTGTATTTTACTATCGTCTCATACAAATCTTTAAAGACCTTGGATTTGCAGTAATCGAATAGACCAACCTAAGACGAAATCTTTACAAACCCTCTCGTTGTCGATTTATGACGGAATTGATGCGCATATAAACTGAAATATTTTAAGAAATTCAACATATTTAGAGAATAGGCGATTATAGCGATAAAAGCGATTTAAAAGAACTTTTTGATTACGTTGGTTTGTTTATTTTCATAATCTAAAATGTGATGAAAATGTTACAAGAATTTAAAAGTTTGAGACCCAACCTTTTGACCTAGTCGCAATGATAAAGATAAAGAGAATATATCTTAACTTCCATTCAGTTTGTAGCATTGTTTAGTAGAAGCTAAACGTTCGTTTTATAAAGTGTTTGTGTTAAATAAATAATGAATTCCGTAAAATTAATTATTAGAAATATGAGCCAAGCTCGAACATGGGAGGCGTTAAGGAGTGTCGGAATTATCGGAGTGCCATTCGAGAAAGGACAAAAGAAGTACGGTGTGAGCATTGCCCCGGCAGCTATGAGATCTGCCGGCTTGATAAACCATCTTAAAACAATAGGTAATTGTTATTGTGTGTATCATTTTATTTAATAAATTAATAATATTATAGAAAAAACGTCCTCTAATGTCATCACAAAGTCGCAATTTTTTGCCAATATCCAAGTTTATCGTATAATCTTTATAATAGTTAGGTTTTTTACTATCTCACACTGACTTTATTAATAATATACAGATGGTTTAGACGTCAAGGATTACGGAGATATTGACACGATGACGACTGAGGTTGAAGTGAATGTAGACAACATGAGCCATCTCTCTCAAGTGTCGGCTTGCAACAAGAAACTGTCAGAGCGCGTATCCCAAGTACTAAAGGATGGAAGAGTGGCTGTCACCATTGGTGGAGATCATTCTATAGGGGTTGGTGAGTTTTGTTACTAGTTTATTGTATGTAGGAAATACCATATCAGCTAACTAGTTCGTAATTTTTATGTTGAGAATGGTTTCATAGGATAAAATTGACTTATATTCAAATTCATTGTGCATTTTCTAAATCACTCAAAGATATTGTTATTTTTAATATACATCTAAACCAGTAAGAGATATATGAAAAAAATCCTCACGATAACGTATCGATGTCGGAAATATATAAAGCTTTTAACGAAGTCCTCGGCTCCTTTGATCATTTGGCAGTAACCCGACGCGCACTGATTCGCGTCGTTAGCTACGGAACTAGTGCAGGAAATAAATCTTTTTTTGACGTACTCAATTATTTGGACACGATTGACCGGCTCGGGAAATTGCTTAGGGATTAAGTTAACTTCCGCATTTTCACAAGCCCTAATTTTCTCCTTTGATGATTTTTTCCGGTTAATCGGAACTGTGAATTCCAGAAATGCTTTTCCTTATATAAAAGTTAACCTGGACTGTATAATGATGTACATATTTACCTCAGTCGATTAGATTCCTCAGATTATAACATCGTTTATAGATTGCTATAAAATCTTGCACATCCCTTAAAAACATTACCTATTTATGTAACTAGGTACCGTAGATGGCCACTACAAGGTAAATGAGGACATGATCCTGATTTGGGTTGACGCTCACGCTGACATCAACACTAACAAGACATCAGGCTCGGGATCCGTGCACGGTATGCCTGTCGCGCTCCTCGTGAAGGAGCTGGCAGATTATTGGCCCTACCTACCCACCATGGACTGGCAAGTGCCTAAGTAAGAATATTAAAAGCAAAGATACTACTCTTATAGTGCCAGAGAGAGACAAATAAACTAACTATTAACAAGTAAAGAAAGAGAATGGAATTAATTTCGCATTGATATGTATTTGTAACATTTTCGCCTCTGCGTTTCGGCTAAAAAAAGGTTGATGTGAATATTTAACGTCAGAAGTACAATTGGGGCTTTACTCTATGATAACATAACTTCATTCATTATCATTTTCAGTACTATTAGTTCTCGTAGAATGAATTAAAAACTTTATTTCAATCTAAAGTTTAGAACACATTCTATAGTGAAAGCAAAAAAAATCAAGCTCGGTTCCTCATGAAAAAAATCCTGGGAGAGTACGTAGCAACGAATGTGCTAACTCCAGTTTAAATTAGCTTGCAAATTTTAAACTTTGAATTCGCCCTTGTTTCAACTAAACTCGTATTATTCTTTACAGATTTAATTTATGGTCAAGTTTTTTTGATATCATAAGGTGACAAACGAGACGCACATAAAGTGGATATTTTCCTTTCCTATCTCCTACACCATCTAATCCACGTTCCATTCCCATCCTCTTATAAGAAAAAGGGTGGGAAGGAAAAGGGACTAAAGTTAGGCCCCCGTCACAACAGTCATCAGACAAAACGTGGAATTGCTCCCACTTCACGCGTGTCTTCTGTGTAGTCGTAGTATTACACCGGGCGAGCCGACCCATTTGGTGTGAAGGTGTTGAAGCGGGAATGTTTAAAAAAACTCTTTAAACTTTTAGATTTTCAATCAAGAACTTGGGATATATAGCTCTTCGATCCGTAGATGAATATGAAAGGTTAGCAATAGAGAAATATGAAGTACCGGCATTTGCAATGGAAGATATCGAGGAGTAAGTGGATATTTATACATATATTTATACATATACGACGAAAGAAATAAAAAAACTAAAGTTCAAAAACAAATCACATTTTATTAAATATTTCATATAATTTCAGATACGGCATAAAGAAATCTATTCAGCACATATTAAAGGTTTTGGATCCTGAGATGAAGAAGCCCATTCACGTGAGCTTCGACATTGACTCAATAGACGCATTAGAAGCGCCCAGTACTGGCACTCCAGGTAACTACTGGTTAAAATAATTCCTACTTAATAACTAGAAAGAAAGATAAGCAACAATTTACAATTTTATCTGCTCTCTAGGTCTACCTAATCTGTTTAATCTTTATCTATACTCTATACTAATATTATTAAGAGGAATGATTTGTATTTTAGGATTTTTGTATGTATTATAACAACTTAAAAACTACTGGGCCGGTTTCAAATTCTTTTACCATTAAAAAGCTACCTGAACGCTGAATAACATAGGTTATATACTATTTTTTAATTTCACGTAGACGAAGTCGTGAGTAACAGCTAATATCAATATTTATAAGAATTCAGTGATAAAATCAATAACTTTTTGATATACCAGTGCGAGGTGGACTCTCTCTTCGGGAAGCGATTAACTTGATGGAAATAATACACGCGACAGGAAGGCTACGAGCTATTGACTTGGTTGAGATAAATCCTGCGCTCGGCGACGATTGCGACAGAAAGCGTACCATAGAAGCAGGTCTTTGGGTCCTAAAGGCAGCCTTAGGGTTCTCTAGACGAGGGACCGCGCCTCGGGGTATCCTAGACTTGCCGGTGCAAACACACCATTAAAAGGAAAAATCAGTTTAACTAAAAACTGGGAATAAACGATGGCAAGAAAATTTGTGTTGTTTAAAAAAATACAACTCATAACCTTTAACGTTTAATATATTAAATAAGTACTTGATATTTTGTCTTTCTTTATTTTTACATAATACGTTAGTATAATACATCAAGATAGCAAAAGATTCCGTTTCTCACAAAGTTACTTGAATTTCATTTTTAATTTCCTACTCCTGTTATAGGAAATAGCAAAGTTTATTTTATGGAGTATTTTAAATAACCGTATCGAAATGTGATGGAAGTCTGATTAAATATATTTTCATTAATTGAATTGACTACTAACTTCTGAATACATTTTAATCAGTTACGGTATGGAATCACGATGACTTTTAACCTTGTGGTAAGTTTTATTTCTTGTATTTGAAATCACGATTCGCTGACCATTCCGTTTTTTTATTCTGTATTTTATATGTGTCTATGGTATATGTAAGTCCGAATATCCTTTTTTATTCCATATTTTTCAATATTTACAGATACTAGGGCTCTTCGCTCTGGGTAGCTGTTTAGAATCAACAACGGAGCATTCACAAAAAAATCAAACCGAAGAAGAAATGAAAAATATCATATTGAAATATATCGAAAACATCAAAGATATAGATTCAAAATACGTTATAAACGAAGGCCTATCAAAGTCGATATCGAATTATTTAAATAGGAAAGTCAACGTATTACCGTTGTACAGAATTAGTTTAAAAATTGATAGAAATCCAATAAAAATACCATGGACTATACCGGCGACGCCAACGGTAGATGACAGTAGCAGCAAACTGAAGTATAAATATGTAGAGATTGGAACTACTAAAGAAAAATAAAATATTTACTATTACCATGTTTTTTTTTAATATTGTTTAACATTACCTATAACTATAAGAAACCGCACTTTTTAGAAGTTTTAAAAAACATTTCCAGGTCTTTTTACTACACTTACGTAGCTAAATTAATTTTGAAATGTTTGTTATAAATTAAATGTAACATAATGTTTTTGTATAAATATATTACATTTAGTAAGACACTTGAAAGGTTTTTTTCTTCCTATCAATAGAGATAACATGTTATTTCATTAATTTTCGATATCCGGAAACCAGGATGTATTAATTCTTCCTTGTGTTGGTTCCGGTTTAGTGAACAGCTCCTTAAATTAGCGCCCTCTGGCGTCTGATTTGCACTTTTGATGTTATTGCCTTTCGCAGTTCGAGACATTTTAGATTATTAATATGTTATTTTAGTTATATTTAACTAGTTAATATCGAAATATAATAAAAGTAGTTGGTGACAACATTTTTAAAAGTATAAATAAAACAAATTGAATTATGAACATAATTTTATTTTTGATACCAGCATTGCTTTAACGAAATAGCAAACAGCAAAAACGTATTGAGCAAAAAGCGCCGTTGGTGAACTGTGAATAATTGTTTTTTTAAGCTTTTATCAATTAACTGCAGTTTCATACCCAAGTAAATTCATAAAATATTGTACTAACAAAATAGATTTTCTGTTGAACTTAACAAAAGAAAATGTTATATGCAATATGATACATTACTAGTATATTTATATTATCTATACGTTTTCACACCAATGAATTATTATATTTTTTTTATTCCTGTTTTTCGCCGTTGAAAAAGTGTACAATGTTTAATGATGACAAACGTACGTAAGATTGCTTAGTAATATTTTAAGATGTTCTAGAAAGTTCTAGAAGTTGACTTGTGGTCTGTAATGCTTCTGGAATTTGTTGGCCTTCAACGACAGCTTCATCTGCAATTTAGCTTGAACCCTCTTCATGAAGTGGATATCACGAGCTTTCCTACAAAAAACGTACATGTTGATTAGCTTTCGACTTTAAAAGTCAAGATTAATTGGAACAAACAGTTTCAAATCAGTATGTGCATGAAACTACACTATTTTGTGATTTTTGGACAATACAATGACAATAAGGATTGGCAAAACAGATTTAAATAAATGATAATTATTAATTAAATGATAATTTAGAATTCAGAGGTAAAGTAATACTAGTAAATATTTATTTTCTTAAATACTGCAGCAATTTTTTCTAAACTAAGAGAAAATTAAGTGATTGTTAAGCAAGTCTAGGGACGATAAAAACTTTGAATACTTACTTTGCAGCTAGTGCTTGCTCCCGGGGAGCCCAGCCTAAGGCTTTATAAACTCCTAGCACCCTGTGCAGCTTGCGGTCAGATTTCTTCACAAGGACTTGACTATTGTGCGTCAAATTCTGCTTGTAGTACCTGTCAAATGACAAAACATTTTATTCAACCTGCATGCAACAAATCATTGGCTTTGTGAACATAAAAACTTTTAAAATTAAGTGATATCAAATGTCTTATCCTTTTTCATTTTTAATACTATTCACAAAAAAAAATATAAAACAGTTATCAATCTTCAAATATTTAAAAAATAAAACAATTGTTGTATTTAAGTTTTAAATGTTAGTAAAAAAAAGGCTTAAAAAAAATTTACCTCATAAGAGACCTATGTCCAACAACAAGACCGGAAGGCAGAACCAGCTGGTAATCCGATCCTTCCAAGTTAGCTGGCTCCTCAACTTCATCATCCACATCCATCTTGCCTTCACCCTCCTTTTGATCAGGATATGAAGAGCTAAAAGAGATTTTTTCATTACATTGAAAATTAAACTTAAAATGCATATACACAACAATGTTTTAATAACAATTATAAAAAATTAAATTACCTATAATCATAGAAATCTGCATATTCCGCTAAAGCGATTCCTTCATGTAACATTTTACAATGTCCTTTATCAACCATATGTCCTCGAGCAGCTTCTAACGAATAGAATGTTCTCCCAGTTTCGTTACACCATAGACACATGTAACCTTGTGAAATCTGTATCAAATAAAGTCAATATGAATTACAGATCAGTAAAAACTTGATTACCCTGGCTAAAATTATCTGGGTTCACTAAAATCGTGACTACTGTATCCACTATATAAACACCGATTTTCGTTTAATATGCTATTGATGTGTTTAACCCTTAATAAAACAAGCCTTTTTTTAGATAGTTGTAAGATGGTGTAATTTTTAAGAGGTAGATTCTGAAAATTTTAATTTTGTATAATATTCAGAGGGACAGTTTTCCCTGTGGTTAGTACTGATAATAGTGACCAATAAAGTAGTAAAAAATATATTTTACTGTGATGTACGAAATAACTGCCCAACAATAGTCTTAGGGTTAATAAGCAATTATCTAGATGCCTAACATTGAGGGCCTGTTCTACCACTGGCTGATAGAGGCTAAGATAGTTTAAAAATGATGTCACTGATAAGGGAACAAAATCTAATATTTTACATGTTGGATTGTTATCATACAATTTACAATTTGGTGGGACAGGCCCTTAGTTGGGTAAATCAAGTTTCCACTGTAATTAAACACTTGTGGTAATTAATTGTTTTAAAGTCTAAAACCGCTGAGACCTTTTTACAAATACCAGTTACAGATACATACTAGAAAAATGTGTTTTATACAATTTTTTTTCTAAAGAATTGAAATATTTATAATGTACCTTTTCACCCAAATATAGTAATAATCCTTTGACATCAACACAATACTCCACATCAGGGATGAAGAAGGAATGTACTTCAGACATGTGCTTCAGGTTTTTAACCATATTTTTGCTATGATGTGTACAAAACAGACAATCTCTTGGCTTGATTAGCGAATCACTTTCTTTTATACGGCATTCATCCCATTCATCTGAATCAAGCTGGAAAAGAAATATTTTTGCATTATTTTAAATTGTTTTTATTTTATAAAATAATGCCATAACATATATTATCATTGTGCAATATTATTATATCAGATATATATAATTATCAGAAGGAACATAATACTTTAATAATTCTTATAAGACCTACCTCTTCGATTTCTGAATCAGTTTCAATATCTTCGTCTCCCGAACCAACAGGCTTTACAACAACAAATTTTTCAGGTTCATTCTTGATAGGAGCACCTTTATCTACATTATCGATTTTTACAAAACTGTCAGTATCAGAATTATTACTATGGTCATCATTCCCCTCTATTATACTTTTTTCTTCAGCTTGCTTGTGCTTTTTACTATTGAGATGATTATTATATGCGTTCTTTGTGTTGAACAATTTTGAGCAACACTTGCAATAAGCTGATTCATCTCGTACCGCTTCAGCTGATTCCTTGTGTTCTTTTGCTCGTTGTTCAAATTCTTCTAGCGTAACAGGTGGTATGGAAGCAACTTTTCTTTTTAAATTGTATCTATGCCAATCTAATTTATAATGCTCCCTTTGTAAGTCAGCTGTTTTGAACAGAACCTGACAAGTAATACACGTGTAGGAATCGGGCATTTTTATTAATCACGGATTTTTCGGTTTCCAAAATTATACACATAAACCAGTGTATATCAAAAACTATTTTTTGGAAACTTCAATATTAAACTTACAATGGTTTAATAAAAGTGCTATTTAAAATAATGCGACGGAATATTGATAATGAGTGATAATGAAATGAACTGACATCTGACATTTAACATTGAAAGCAAAGAGTATATAAAAAGTTCAAAGTTACAGATAGCTGAAGATGGTAAAGGTAAAAAAATACTTAATTTCAAAGGACTTTTAACAATCAAAAAATATTCACAAACTAATGTAATAATTTAAATGAAACAAAACAAGTAAGCACTTTAAAAAATGAAATCTGTAAGATTTGTCTACTTATTCCGTGGAATGTGGAACGTTAACATCAAAACCAGTCAAAACAAAAACAAATCGTAACGACAAATTCATATGCCCTTTGAATTCAAATTCGAATTATCAAAATACAATTTCATTTAACAACCTGTGGCACATTATTTTGTTAATGAAAAAGTTTGTAATGATAAGTTGGGATTTATTATACAGAATTTGATTTTAAGTTTAAGAAATGTTGGGTTGGGTTAGTTATTGCTACTGTATGCAATCAAGACACAAATAATATAGCAGCATTGGATTCTCTCAAAAAATTAAATGGAATAAATCTTAAAAGTAATTATTTTAAAGTAGATACAGATAATGTTTACATTATTTTTGATGTCCCACATTTATTAAAATCCATTAGAAATGTATTTAGCGTCAGTGGTGAATTAAAGGTAGATAATAATGTAGGCAAATAGAATTATTTAGTTGAGATAAACCAAAAAAAATAAAGGCTCTATTCTTTTTAAAAAAATATCTTAATTACATATTAATCCAACCAACAGATTAAAAACCGAGTCAACTTAGCGACAGACATTTTAAGCAACCATGTCGCCGCCTAGGTAATGTTATTTTTGCAAATCGAAACAGATCGAGAAATAAGTAGAGAAATGTCTAATACCGCCGAAGTCTTAGGTTTATGGATAGACGGTTTGGTTGTACTAATGGACCATCATCTCACAATGATGTTAAGAAAAATTACAGAGAAAATAGTAGTGAAAATAGTTTTCACCATAGATATTGGATGGAACGTCTGCAAGAAAAAGTCTGTCTGTGAGAAATACGTATTTTTTAAATTGTAGAAACAAAAAACGTTTAAAAAATTAAATGTGTAAAAGGATACATTACAACAATCTCTTCCATTCAGGAGATATGGAAATATCTCGAACAAATAAATATTACGTACTTAAATCTTAGACTGCTAAATCTAGATGCTTTAAATAACTTTTTCGTATTAATCCGACAACTTGTCCCAAAAAAGATCAATCTAACATGTCATCGCTTTCAATCAGCAATTAAAACCTCTATTTTAATGCGTTTACGGTATTATAAAAATAAATTTACAAATTGCGAGAAAGACGATAATTTCGTTTTATTTGATTTTCGCAACGTAGTTTTTAATAAACCATAACTAACAAAAGCGCGTGATGTAAATGTTTAGTATCAACCAAACCCAATGATGGAATCGACCATTTCATAAATTATAATGTCATTTTGTTATGATTTTAATGGTAAGACTAAAAACTATTCGGTGTGTAGTGAAAACTGTGTATCTGATTTGTTGAATTATCCGAAATATCTGTTTTATTTTTTTTTTTATTTTTTAAGGGATATTATAACTAATAGGCCTAAATATTTCTTGTTTCACAAGGAAGGTGATCTCTCAGTTCTTTCGAGTTGCAGGAACTTAGATATTGCTTTCCTTTAATTGGATACTCTAATCAATAATAGTAACCAAGCAGACATTTCCGAGAATGGTAAGGTATCGCTGAGGAAAAGATAACCCATTTGTGTAATTCATGCATTAATTCTTGATATTGAGTTGTGTAAATATATCGGTAATAAACACCTATAAGGTAAGGTTTATATGTTTTAAGAGAGCTTAACTCATTAATTTTCTTCACACTCTTAACATTTTCATAAATATCAGAAACTATGTAAGTTAAAAATGATTCATAGAAATACTAATATTTCAGAATTGGTACATTTAACGATATTACATCCCTTTTACTTTTTACCTCGTATATTCCAACTCGTGTTTAGTTGAATCTAACTAAAGTAGTAACAGTTGTATTAAACATCCAAAATTTAACATTTTTTCAACTATCTCTAAAATATTTATCTTATTTGGTAAAAGGAGGGAGTGTAGTCAGTGATGCTGTTAAGAACAGATGTGGCCCCTCCGTGTCTCTACTCTACCCTAACGGCTGTCGATTCCAGTCTGGGACACGGCGGATCCATAAATGGTGGATAATGGAAATGCCCCTAAAAATAAGGGAAATTCTCTTTGCAACCAAAACTGGCATAAAAGATGTTGATGAAACTAGTAAAATTAGACCTGTGTAGATGATTGATCACTGTGATCGCAATCCTTACGTGATTGACAGGTCTTTTGTTTCATCGAATAATACGCATTAAATCTTATAACTCAATCGTAAAATCCCTCGCCCAGCCGGTAAGAATAATAAACTGTACAGTAAGTTCAAAAATGCGATATAATTTTTACTATTTGTAATTAAGATTGATAATAGACCTCGCAAAAATAAATTGTTTTATTGTGAAAGCACGTTCTCCCTTTATTTATCTATATACTAATAATATACTAATAAAAAAGAATTTGTATAACTCAAAAACTACTGGGCTGATTTAAAAAAATATCGTTATTATTATAATTACCTTATCGTTCGAAAGCTACGTTATCAGTGAGTAAGGTTATGTTTTTTATTTTCTAATTACATGCGGGCGAAGTCGTGAGCAACAGCTAGTATAAACTATGTAGGCAACACTGAATGCTTTAACCATTTTGTGCAACACAGCCGACGAACTGTCTCTTTGACCTTTAAGCTGTCAAACTTCGACAGTGACAGTTCGTGGCGATTTGACTCCTTGTTTTCTTCTTTTTAATAGTCAATAAAATATTTTCGCATTTAAAGTCCTTATGTGCTATCATATATACTAATTTGTAAGAAAACACTTAGTTATAATACGATTTATTTAAAAGTAACAATATGTTGGAAGCTGACGAAGTTGATGTAGATTTCTTTACACCAGTTACAAGGTTTATTAACTTTTCTATTTTGTAACTTAATATTTGAGTTTGATATTTTGACAATTATTAATTTTTCTAGCACATCTTTATCGAGATTATTTAGTATTGATAAACATTTTGAAGATAAAGAAGATGCTTCTTTGAAATACGTGCCACAACCAGTCCGAAATGCTGCATTGCAGAAACAGGAAGAACCTAAAGCTTCACAAATAATATATGCTAGTGTTTTTTACGCTTACGAATGGTACGTACAATGTTTTTTGCATTGATGATGATTTATTTATTGGCCAAGCCTGTCATACTTTACATTTATGTACATCTTATTTACTTTCAGGACCAATAATGAATATGTATCTAAAGGAAAAATAGGTACTGCCATATTAAAAAATCAAAAAACTGAGCAATCTAATATTATTTTGTATGATTCCAATAAAGTTACATTATCATGTACAAACATATCTCCACAATTGAGGATAGTTGTTAAGGAAAATACAAATTTATCATTTTATGATAACACAAGAAAATATTGGAGTTTATATGGTACTGAAGAAAACATTTCTAAATATGTTGAGAATTTAAAATTGTCTGGGGTTATTATTGAAAATTCAAATAAGGACAGTAAAAGTCAGTCTGAAATTATGAAACATGAAGTAAATAACATATTAACTCAAAATCCTACTGATCATAAAGAAAGTGATACAGATTCATCTATAAATAAAAAAACTAAAGATTCAATTTTAAAAAGAATGGCTACTATGGGTCATTCTGTTTTACCAATGCCATCTACAAATTATGCTAAGTCTAATTCCTCAGATTCTGATGAAAGTTCTGAAAAAGTAATAAGGCATAAGCCTCAAAGAAGTACAGTAAAGTATAAAACATCTGAAAAGATGGATTGCACTGACAGTTGTACAGAAATTAATTGGAAAAAACCAAGTGCTGTAATACAAAGCCCAGAAAATGTTACAATTGCTTCATATGATCATCGTATTGTACCATTAACAAGTTCTAATATAATTAATAACCCAATTCTAAACAACTCAAGTGAATTAAATTTATTTATGTCTGAACAAAGGATAAGCAATAGTGAAATAAGAATAAATATGAACAGAATGACGGATAAACTGGATAAAATATTAGACAACATCCAAGGTGTGTGCAATCAAGCAAGTAATAATAACATTAGAAATGAAAACAATATTGTTCAAAAATTATTAGTTGAATATGAAAATAAAATAAAATTTTATGAAGATTTCATAATGTCAAAAGGATTAGATTGTAGTATTTTAAATTCATCACAAAAGCTGGAAAAGGAGGACATAAATATGAACAAAAATAAAATAACAGATCTTGAAAACATCATTCACAAACAGGAAAAGGAAAATTCTAGATTGTGTAATGAATTAAGGACTTTGGAAGAAAAATATAAAACAATAAGTAAGGAAAGAGATGAGGAACACAATATTAAAACAAAAGATGTGTTATCCTTAAGAAATGAACTAACTATGAAAAATGAGGAACTAAAAACAGTGAGAGAAGAAATGGAAAGTTGTACATTGCGGAATAAAGATGATATTAAAAACAAACTTAAATCCATAATGAATAGAACATTCCATGCTCTGTCTGCCAATTTTGATGTTGAAGAAAATTACACTGGAACTGCTATTAAATCTTTACTTGCAAGTCTTATTAAAAAAGAGACAATGGAAGCATTAAATGATGTGTAAATGTATTATAAATGTTATAAATAAAGTTTCATTTCGTATTCTAGATTAAATTAATGGTATATTAGATCAGCCAGATACATTTCTGGTTTCTTTGCTTGTGACCTGTTCAATGTATGATTTTATGTAGAGTATTATTACACCTCACAATGCGCTTGCTAAATAAAGATTTCGTAATGAGAAAATTACGAACGAAAAATCGTTCGCTGCGTTGAACCTTGAGGTTTAGGTACCTGTTCGTCTAGTTTCAGTCTGTAAAGTGCAAGGCCACGAATTAAATTAGTCATTTTATAGAGTTTTTTATTGAATATTTAAATCTTATGAATAAAACCTAGAAATACATGTTTATGGCAATAATTTCTACAATCTACATTTCAAAAATAGAGGCGTACATAATCTACTTTTAGGACAAAGATTTTAATGTCATTGTCACTTGAAGCGGAAATGGAATACTGTCATCTGTCACAAAAGCTACAACAGAAGTTCTTTTCAGAGCAAACTTAAATTTATATACGGTGTTCTTGTTATTATATTACCAACTTAAATTTATCCGATAATTTTAATGCACCGACATAATTTATAGTGGTTAAGATAATAATGTTTTAGTTAGTTTTGATCAATATTTTTTAACAACAATATGAGTTGCCTTTTGATGTTTGCATTCATATTAATTTAATAAGCAAAAATATATTTTACCAATGAGAATGGAAGAGTTAGAAAATTCTTTAGCTCAATACAACGAGCAAGTAAGGGTTAATTTTTTGTCGTGGAAATGAGTAAATCATGTGCAATTTAACTATCAAATATTGCGTGTATAGTTACAGTTTGTTAATGATTCCCTTGCGGAAGCTCAAGGTGATATGCGGGAATCACTGTTGGCTCTAAAATCACAGATGCAAAATCTGATACAAGTCACGCAAGAGAGCCTGGATGCACAAAAGTCTAAGGAACTAAAACGAGAGGAAAATGAGGAAAACAATGTCTTGGACAATTCAGATAGAAACAAAGATGAATTGGATGAAGAATATGCCTTATTTATGGTAAATCTCTTAATCTTAAAATTTAGTTGTTCAGATAAAATATTTATTGGTATAACTGCATTTAAATTAATTATTACTTTTAAACTTTGATATGTTGGTTATTTACTGTTGTGAATGTCAACTTTAGCTATATAATTTTACAGCAAGAAATGTCTAAAAGTGGAGCATATAGTACTGAAGAAAATCAAGATTCCACGGAAGTGTCAAAAGATGATGATAATAAAAGTGATATAGAGGTAAAGTAAAATAATAATACAAAACTAATGTATCATCCACTTAAACTATGGTGCACTATATACCTCTCCCAGCATCCTTTTATACTCACCACACATAAAATTGCAATATTCTCAGTCTTGACAATATTTGATTTTCTCTCCTTATATAATTTCAAATAATATATTTACTATTTATAGGATGAGTTAGCAACACTGTTGGGTATGAAATGTGCAGTGTATCACACGCACAAATGGGGTGGGCAACCAAGCCTGCACAATGCTATGGTCAGCAGTGTTGAGCCACACCAGGATAATGACCAGTTCTCTGATCTACAGGTATATTTATACAACTTGTTAAGTTTTTTTTTTAACTATTTACTATATGACACCCTCATTGTGGGGAACCTAGTGCAAGAACCAAGGCTCTCATGAAATGTATATTTTCTAAAGTGAAATAATAAAGGGTTTATTTTTTATTTATTCACTTATTTATTGTAGAACAGTGGCAAATTATTGTGTGAAACCAAAAAATGTAACCTTTATTTTGCAATAATGTCATTGGTTTTCATTATTTATTGAATATGTGTAAAAGAATCCATAATGTGGAATTAAAAAAACAAGTGAGTAGCCTATGTGTTCTTTCTGATTATCCTCTATATTTATGCCAAATATCATTGAGATCCATTAAGCCATTTAGACTACAAAATCTAACAAACATCTTTCCGTCCACCCATCTATCTAAACTTTTGCATTTATAATATTAGTATGATTGAGTTGTAATTTTAGTAAACCTAAGTTATACACCTAAGTCTATATTCATATTTATTTATGCCATGTTATAATTGTCTTCAGGTCAGGGTTCTGTTCACACATCCAACACATGCAGAAATGTTGCCATGTCCATTTTATCTTGATGGTGAATGCAAATTCAGTGATGAACAATGTAGGTGAGTTTGTCGCATTATGAATATACTCTATTCCATTAGGTAAATTTTTACACTTAAAATAAACTATTATTCCATTTTAATAGATATTCTCATGGTGCTTTAGTACAATTATCTAGTTTAAAGGAAGCTATAGAACCTAACTATGAATCTATAAAACCGGGAAGCAGGATTCTATTGAAACTGAAGCCAGCAGATGGTGAGGTATGTAAAATTAATTACTTTATGAAAATAAGTAATTTATAATTTAGTATTTTTATATATCTTAACATATCTCTTTTAAAGTCTATATTACATAAATTAAAATTTAACATTTGAAATATTGTGAACTAGCTTTTGCTGGGAACTTCGCCCATGTGAAATTAAAATATAATAAATAACATAGCCTCTGTTACTCACTGATAACAAATTTTTTTAATGTTGCAAGAATTTTTGATATTGGTCTGGCAATTTTTGAGTTATTCCAATACAAACAGAAATACAAATCTTTCCTCTTTATAATGTTAGTATAGGTAAATGTATGTGTGTGTTTCAGGATATGAGCATAGCAAAGAAATCTATTGAAAAATATCATCTCTGGCAAATAGGAGTAGTGAAGAGTGTTGACTTTGAGACCAAACAGTGTGTAGTGAAATTAGAGAATGGTATGAAAACTGGAGAGAAGAGAAAAATATCAGCAGATGAGTTCCATTTGGCATTTGAAGAGATATTTCCATTAAGCAGTAAGTTCTATCTACACTGATTTTTAATTATACATTTTCATAATTTTATTTTTAGATTCAGTACAGACTAAATTTGAGCCATACATATCTGGGTTCAGAAGACAGCGACAAGTGTCTTTGCTATCTTGTATTAAAACATTTGTTTTTTAACATATTTAACATATAATATTTCTTTCATATGATCAAGTCTGATGTTTTGAATAGACACTCACATCAAAATATTTTGAATAGTTCAAAATACTAAAGTTCCTGCAATTAATATGTGTTGATAACTATTTTAACTGCTGGCATTCTCTGTGTGTATGCTTTTTAGATGATAGTGAAGCAGATGTGGAGTCAGAGGACAGTGTGAGTGACACAGAGTACCCGGAGCACAAGTTGTGCCGGGCAGAGGGTGA